CGATCCTGTCGTAGATCGAAACCGTGTTCGAGCTACCCTGAGGAACGTTGAAACGTTCGCTAGTTCGTCCTGACGAAACAACGTGTAATCGTGATGAACGTTCTTTTTCCTTTTGAGGGAGGAGCTGACTCGTCGACGAGCAATCCCGCGTTCATTTCTCGCTTCAGTTCTAGATCTCAGAGGATATCGCGCAAGGTATCTGGCTAAGGCTTTTACTAATACAAGATTAACTTGTACGAAAGCAGCACGTTTTCCATATTATCTAAGATAATAATTTATCGCAAACGGACTATCTTCGAGGATCCGTTGTCCTTTGTGTTTTCTTCTGTTTTTTTTTTGTTTTTTTTTAATTAGTCGCGAGAAATAAAGAGGACGATCCACGATCGTCCTCGTCGTTGTTCTTCCGGGAGAAATTTCTATTTTCCAAACTGTGCTTCTTCTTCCTCCTCCTTTCGTATCTCCTCTGTTCTTCCCCCTCCCACTAAAGTAACGTTATTATTCGCTCACTTCGCGGTGACATGTTAATTTTTGTTCGCCTGTTAATTTTACGTAGTGTTATCGTAGTTATATATCGACGCGATGTTGATTCGAGGACATTCGAGGATCGTTGAATCGTTCGTTTCTCTTTCGGTCGAGTGTTTCCTCCTTTTTGCGATTTACCGCGATCGAACGCGCACGGTTGTCCGCGAGGAGAAAAGGGGCGAGCGAGAGCGAGAGAGAGTGAGAGAGAAAGGACGAGAGAGACAAAATGGAAGAGACGAAAATGGTGCACACGAGAGAGAAAGCATTACGCAGAGATCTTCACGCAGAACAAAGACACATCACCGGACGAGTATCTCACTCTTAGTACATTAAATACGTAATTTGGTGTCAGGGTAGACCTTTTTCCATAGATATAGAAGCCGTTGTTGCTATTTACTTACGTAGAATTCGTAACAATGAAGATTGACTAGCAAGGGAATACTTTTGACTGTGTGTATGCGTGTGTGCGTGCGCGCGTGTGTGAGAGAAATGCAAAAACTTCAGATTATATAAATTATTACCTAATTATTTTTTTCTCCTCCCCGTTAGATGCGATTCGTACAAAGCATTCCTGGGCCCTTTCTCAGGATTCTCGATGTTGGTCGATATCTCAGAGACCATCGAAGGGGGAAAAAAAGAAATAAAGAAGAAAAGAACAATATTAAATATATATTTCTATATGACATCATTTGGTCTTCCGTAAGTTAATGTTCAACGGAGAACAGATCGATTGACTGGACGCGGTTTGATGTTCCTGTTAAATGTTTTTCACCTGTTTCTTTTTCGTTGTGCCGCGGTTCTTCTCGAACGCGAGCTCGTTAAGTTTTCGACATCAGACACACTTGCTGGTCATTTTGAAACGTACCGAGGGGGGGGGGAGGGAAGGAGCAATATAGGAGGAAGATACGACGAATCGCGTTGTAACGTTTGCAGAACAAAAGAAAATACGAGGGAAGGAAGATAAAAAAAAAAAAAAACGCATATACGTAACTCGAACCAAGAGAAACCACGTGGTTCGCTTTCAAGGAAGGCGGGGAATCTGTTGTACGAATCGTCCAATGACTATCTATATTTACGAATGTAAAATCATAGTCCGTTGTACCGTGCTCTAAGGACAAACAAACAAAGAAAACGGAGAAGAGAAAAAAAACATGATTTTGATAGTAGTATCGTAAAGACAGAGGAAAAGGGATAAAAAGAAAATATTAGAATACGTGTATAACGTACGTGAAGTACATAACGGAAAAATGCAGACTTAACGATTACTAGAAAAACGACGAAACGACAAAATAAGGATAAACAAAGAAATAAGAGTTTATTGAATCGACGTGGAGGCAGAAATTTTTAGACCAGTTAGAGCAGCTACGCTGTTTAAAAACTAGCGAGGAATAAAGGAAAGAGGAGAAAATGGAAGAAAGGAAATAAAATATAAACGTCCGTGATGAATATGGCGAAATAGCGTCGTTTATTAGTGGAGGAAAGAATGAAAAGAAACGAAGTCTAAAGTGGAAGAGTAAGATATATTCGAGAGAAAGAGAGACAGAGTGAATGGGAATGAACCGTATTCATATTAAAATACTGTACCGCTAATTACCTAAAGTACTATCACAGCATAAATATCGCCGTACGTAAAGTAACGATTAAGCTGAGCATGCGAGTCTACGCACGAGATGTACTCACCTAAACCTTCCACATTTTTATCCCCCCACAACCATCTCGGCAACCCACCCATCCTCGCCTAATCGCACAGCGAAATGTACCTCTCTCCTACATACCGTACGTAATCGTAACGATAATGTTTCAACATGTTGCGTGTGCGCGTAACGAGCAATCTGGCGGGAACGAGATCGAAGAGGGAGAAAGAGAAAAAGGGAAACGTTCACACGTGAAAAAACGGCGTAGAATATAAATATAATACGTGCGTAAGAGATAATACGGTAGGACACTTTCGAGAAAGAGAAAATTGGAGAACGGGACGTTTCGTGGAAACGATGTGCACATACTCGGAAAGATATATAGTTGCCACTGCCGGGTCCCAGTTAATACCGACGCAGTTCGATGAACACAGTTGACACAACGACGACGAAAATCGTTAAGAGGAATCGA